AGGTCACTCTCTTCCTTCACTTATCTGAATAGGCATCATCGATCGTTTCAACTACTGGCAGACAGCACGGGTGAAGACGTCAAAACCAGAATCGGAAAGGCAAGATAGACTTTATCACCCTGAAATCAGTTAAGAAATCTTATATACCCAGCACAAACAACAAAAGTCGGATTTTCAGCAGGAGTATTAAGGTAGTCACTTCGTCTACATGGATCAAAGTCTTGGCGTATGTCACGGAAAGAGCTTCCAACAGGCTTCTTCGGATTTTTATCAACAGCTAACTCTGATGGCTCAAAACTGAAGACCAGATAGCCAGCCAGAAAGAATTAGCAATGAGAAACTCTGCAGTGGAACAAACTAACTGATATCAGTCCGTGATCAACTCGTAAAACATAACTATTCCTTACAAACCAAACTATAGAAAATTATTCTGATGCTCGCTAGTGACTTGCTACAGGTTGGAGCTTCCTGCAGTTCTAGTGAGAAGTCGTGACCAGTGAGGTCCAATTAGAAGTCACGTGTGGATGGATTTCCACCAACGACAGTAGTTGGGGTCGCGCTAAAATCACGAATTGCTTGAAGTTAGAATTCATGAGCCATTGAATCGGGTCCCAGTGGCTGAATGGTATACGAGCTTGCCTTGTAACCGGAAGGTCCCGGGTTCGAATCCCAGTGGGTGCGTACTGCCGATGATTCCCAAACTAGGATGAAACAGCAGCTGTCCAGTACTCCCAGCTGGTTTTCAATGGTTCTCTAACTGATATCAGTCCGTGATCAACTCGTAAAACATAACTAATCCTTACAAACCAAACTATAGAAAACTTATAATAAAGGTTTTTTGTATTTCCCAATGAATGAATGAAAAACAAAACGATATTGCTGTTTTTACTGACGCTTCGCTATTTAATGCTGCTAATAGCTTCGTCAAAGCTGTAATCTCAGCTTATATATGCCAAATCTATTCGTCGTTCCTCAGCATGGGAGCATTTTTGCGTTGTCTAGTTGGCCAATTGGTAAAGATAACAAAACCAGGTGTAGATTGTTGGATTTGATAAGTGTGTAAAATTGTAAAATCAGCGTATGTTTACATATTGAAATTGATTATCACATTCGTGTTGATTTCGTCACTTCATGGAAGGAAGTGTGGATGGTGTTGTAACCGGGTCAAATTCTGTTTTAGTCCATCATTCCTATTCAGACAATTTGGATTCCATTTGATATGAAGTGCTTCTCATTGATATTAGACTTTTTTGTGATTTCTGAAATGCTTTTTCTGAATGACGATTTCAATATTGATAAAATCAATTTTGTGGCCTGATTCTGTAGCATGTAGACAGATCTATGGCTGATGATTTTTCAAGCTTTTCTATTTCATCTGGATTTCTTGGTGGTCGAACAGAAGTCTACTTTATGGTGTTCATTTCCTTTGATTCTGATTACTAGCTGACGATGTTTGTCCCATGTATATCGCATCATATTCCAAGCAAGCATTTTATTTTATAGACACAATTAGATAGAGAATCTTTAGGGATCTGGTCTTTTATATGGACAAGGTTGTTTCGTAGTGTATCTGATGTTTTGAAGAAAACTCTAATGTCGAGCTTAGTGAGCACTCTCCTGATATCGTCTGACGTCTCCGCTCTATTTGGAATGAGAACTGTTGAGGTTCATGTTTTCGGAATACGTTTTCAACCACACTTAATGTCAGTGTTGATTTTGTTGGTGAAGTTCCTTAGGTAGTTGTTTTGCTTGAGAGTTTCAGTAATATTTGATATTTCTTCTTCTTTTTCTTTCTCAACTGTTATCAGAGAGTGTGCTCGTCTAAGAAGACTTGAAACAACTGAAATCTTTGCGCTGATGGAGTGTGATGATCCATATTCTATATATTTATTGGAGTGGGCTTTCTTCCCGAAAATAGATGTACTAAAATGTCCGTTTTCCCTCCTCTTAACTAAACAGTCTAGAAATGGTAGTTCACTGACGTCTGATTCTGCTTCCAAAGTAAACTGGATTCTGGAGGATACAGTGTTTATTTTCTCCAAGAATGAACTGTGTATATCTCGTTTTAGCACTACAAATGTATCATCTACATATCCTAAACATATTCCAGGAGTGAGTATGCCTGAAAAGATGTTACCTTGGAAAGTATTCATGAAAAGATCAGCGACTATTTGGGAAACTGGTGAACCTCCAGCTACACCATTTGTCTGTCTACATAAATTCCCTATAAATGTAAAATAATTACTTTCTAGACAAAATTTTAAGCTCTTAACAATTTCACTGGTGTCCCGTGGACCTTTATTATAATGAATATCATGTACCCAATGCCCAGATTTTTTCAAACTGTTAAATGTGAACTTAGTTTGGACATATATAACCAAGAACCTATCCTGAGGAAAATGGAGACAGATAGAATATACGCTGCTGAGGAGACAACTGGAGGACATGGCGTGCTAGGACTCGATTGGAACACGAATGGGAAACAACGAGCTGGGTGGTGGTCCGAGGGTGATATAAAGAAGATAGCATGAGCAGAAACTGAAAGCTCATGGGCAATCAGTGGGCCAGCTAAGTGGCAATTCAGAGAACAGGACAAAATGGAGATGTCCTGTTGAAGCTCCATTAGTCGTCTCGGAAACCAAGAGAAGGATAATAATAATAGTAATAAGGGCACCACTGAAATCCAGTGACTAGTGGGGTTAACCAAGTTCCGTCTGAGGAATAACACTAGCCAATAACATTGGTTGGCAGTGCCGCCATCTATTATGAATCAGCAGAAGTTAGAATTCATGAGCCGACGATTAAATTTTGTCCTAATGACTAAAATGGTCAACAAGATTGTCTTGTAACCGTGGCAGTTCTTGGTGTGACACTTGGTGGTGGGGTAACTGGATGCGTACTGGGGAGAAGAGTCCCCGATCAGGAAGAAAAAGCTGTCGGTCTGGTGGTTTCCAACGGTTCTCCAGCTGAAGTCAGTTTATTATCCAACTTGAAACCATACCATTAATTTTTTAAACAATTACACCAATACTGAATGTACACATTTGATCATGGGGAATAATAAAAAGAAGGTTGCGGCGAAGAAAATGTTCAATTCGATGAAGTCACCGTCAACTAGGTAGCTGTACATTCGTGTATTTATAATGAATGGGTGGGAAAATCCCAGAATAATTTCCGGTCAACGGTCAAATTAATAAAATTGCAATTAGGAATTAAAATGCCATAATAAACAGGTGGGGGGGAGGCGGATAAAACTCAAACAAAGTAGCATCCTGATTATCGAGAAGATTGACATATTGTGCAATTAGGGGTTACAAATATAGAAATAACAAAGTATACAGGAGATTTGGATAAAAAATCTAGTGGGATCATAACTAATGTGACGAATAATTGTTTATGCAATTAGCGATTAAATATGTAGAAATAATAAAATAACAAAATAGACAGGAAGTTCGGATATGAAAATATGGTAGTGTAAATAGGGACTAGGAAAAACTTCAAAATAACATGAATAAACAGGAAGTTTGAATAAGAAAGGTGATGGGATAGTCACTATTGCAAGAACCACCTGTTTATGATAGCCATGGTAGGGACAAGGGTTGAACGTATCTCTTTTAGGTACGTAGTGTGGATTTGAGCTTTTGAATGGCTAGTGTCTCGGCTATACCAAGATGTCTTCATTTTACTCCCTTTGATAAGTTTGTTCGAATCTTGTATGTTATTTTGAAGGATTTTTCGAATGGCGTTAAATGTTCTGAATTGACCAAATGTTCTGTCACTGAACTATGTACACGTTTTCGTTCTCCTTCTACTAGCCAGGCTGGATAGTGTTCACGAGCGCGCTTTTCAAGTTGGCGCACGGTACGGCAGATGTATTCAGCTCCGCACTAGCAAGTAAAATGGTATATGCACGTTTTTATCCAAACATTCTGTCTATTTCTGTTATTTCTACATTTCTAACATCCAATTGTACAATATGTCAATCTTCTCAATAATCAGGATGCTACTTTGTGTGAGTTTTATCCGCCCCCCCCCTCCTGTTTATTATGGCATTTTAATTCTTAATTGTAATTTTATTAAATTTGACTCTTAACCGGAAATTGTTCTGGGATTTTCCCACCCATTCATTATAAATGTACGAATGTACATCTAGTTGACGGTGACTTCGTCGAAGTGAAAATCTTCTTCCCTGTAACCGTCTTTTTATTTATTCAAACCTCTGCTGGTCGTCTCATATTCTTATAGTTTCGAAGACAGTTTCCCGTCTGACTCATTACATAAAGAAGTTAAGGCAATCAGGTATAACCCAACCTCTTCTCATACAATTTATTAATTCATGTGTTTTGCCCATCATTCTTTATTGTTCTCCATTATTCTTCCCTGGGCTACTCAAGAAACACCATATAATACTACGGAGAACATTGAAGGCTGTAAGTAGGGTCAGTGCTATCCCTTTGACTCAACTAACCGACACTATTGTCAATAGGCATATGAATTCTTGTAAACACTTAGCTAAAGTTATTTTGTCTGATAGTGAACATCCTCTGTATTCACAATTGTTTCCTTGTATCTCTTCGGGTAAGACCAGAATAAATTTCATAAACATTTATGCTCGTACTACAAAATATAAAAATTCAATCGTACCATATTTGGCACGAGTATTGTGTGAAGAGACAAATATCAGAAAAGAACTTTTACAACTTGTAAATCATTAACTAAACTATAAAATGTACTGATGCATATTAAAGCATGTGTTATTTTATTATTTATATAATTTATTTATTATTCACTATGACCTAGCAGTGGTGTGATTTTGTTAGGGTTTTTATTTTTCCTATTAACTATCAATATTTTAACATTTTATACATTTATATAATTATAAACAGAGCTAAACCATTGCAATATGTAAAAGAAAAGCTGAAAATTCCATGCTGTAAATTGTTATTGTTGTGGAATAAAGTGATGATTATTATTATTATTATCATATATTCAATAATTACCTGGTTTATTTTCTATGTCATTATGTCTTGATGTATTGTCAGCGTCATTTATCTTATACAACGAACTACGTGATGAATGTTGCGGAATATTTTGCCGTTTATCATATATGCCGACATCTTTATTGGATGATAAGCAGGGTACTGAAGTGACATCGTAGGACCATTCATTATTATTGTTATTTGGATTTAACACTTCATTCCCTCTAACTTGATCTTAGAACAATCAAAAATTAAAAGAAAAGAAAAGGAAATTATAACATGAACACAAACATTGGAAGATGAATACTTGAATTAACTGATTAAAACAAATGAATCGAATTTGGCGGGAGTATTGAAATAATTGGGACTGGAAATGTACAAATTAAATGCCTTATGTAAAACATGGTTTAAAAGTCAATCTGAATGAAGAATATTCTTTTCAATACATCCTCCTCCTCAGGTTTTTACAATTATAAAATATAATATAATATTTGTTGTCGTGACAATAAAGACCAGTTATGCGGTGGACACATTTTTCTTAAAAGTAGAATAACAGATTAGTAATTCTGGGGTGTCAAAATAAATAGTCCATTTCAAGTGTTGGTTTGTAGGGATTTGATTGGTTACAGGATTTCATCATGAGCTGACATCAGTTGGAGAACCACTGGAAAACCAACTGGGAGTACTGGACAGCTGTTTCGTCCTAGTTTGAGACTCTTCATCAGTGCGCACCCACCGGGGTTCGGACTCAGGTCCTTCTGGTTACAAGGCGTAGACCATTAAGCTACTGGGACCCAATCCAATGGCCCATGAATTCTAACTTCTGCCAATTCACGACATAGCGCGACCCCTAGCCAATGTCTTCGGCGAGTATTTGCCCTCACACCCAACCTGCTGTTCCGAAGACTGCGTAGAAAAAGAACTACAGGTCATCCGCGACATTCTAGGCGAGAACGGACATCCAGAGAAGTTCATTAAAGGCAACATAGGTTACAATAACCGTAAACATGAACTGACAATGGTGGATAAAAGTCCCTATTTTTACGTCTACAATGCAGGGGAGATACTCCTGTGGAGATTCTATCGCAAACGTTTAACCAGGGCGATCAAGGAAACTTTCTACTCTGCACGTCTGTTTCTATCCTTCAGTAGCCGTCCAATGTTCACCCAGCAACTGAAAGATGTCTTACCTAACCTTAGCTCTTCTTCATGCATATAGCAATTCAACTGTTCCTATGGTTCAAGTTATATAGGGCTCACGATTAGGCAGGTTTGTCTACGGGTTCGAGAACATTTACCAGCTTGGTTCAGCAGGGGAGAAAGTAAGTGCATAAAAAGGTCGATCCTGTTACATTTGGTCGATACTGGACATCGCATCGATGCCAATTCAGCTTTCAGGGTTGTATACCGAATTCCAAAGTCGTTATCACGTACAGTTCGCTTACGTCTTCTACACATAGCTGAAGCTGTTGTAATAAGATCGATTAAACTGGAGCTTTGTATCCGAAAAGAACACGTCCAGACGCTGTTCCTACCGTGACCAAACTTGGACTGATGATTCTTCTTCTCACCAAGAGTGCTTCTTCCCCTTAACCCTCTTGGTGTTTTTTTTCTTCCTTTTTTTATTATTATAATTCTAATTATTAAAGTTATTATTATTCGTCATAATTTATGCCCTTCATGCAAAAACTTTCTTTCAAAACTATAGAATTTTCCATTTATACTATTCGGAATTATTATTAATGATGATATTATCTCTTTTCTCAATATATGCTCCCACCTGTTTCATTTCACATATTGGTTATTTCATTATGAACCTCTCATTACAGTCTTACTATCTCCTGTTTAACACAGACCACTTTATACTAACCACTCACCTGACACCTTTTATAACCTTGACCTGACTTGTCAGTTTTCCTACCCCACACACTATGAATCTATTATGACAACTAATCACCACTGTTTTCTCCCATTTTACAATATTTTGTAATCGATTTCAGCCTAGCAAGTTTGTCACACTCAAATACGACTATTTATTTTGACACCCCATAACTAATCTGTTATTCTACGTTAAAAATGTATCCACCGCATAACTGGCCATTATTGTACAGACAACAAATGTTATCATTTTATAATTACAAGAACCTGAGGACGAGGATGTATTGGAAAGAATATTCTTCGTTCAGATTGACTTTTAATTCATGATATATGGAGGGAATATTTCACACTATTAAATCGTAAAACATGTTTGTTTACATTCTCTGAAATAATAGGTGGAAGGAACAAACAAAATGTTATGCATAAGGTTTTAACCTTATTAGTCCATGAGTCCACTGTTTCAGGCTGAAGAAAATGCATATCGATAGCATTGGCTGGGTAATATTGAGAAATGACAGAAGTTAGAATTCATGGGTAATTAAAAAACCAAACCAGGGGGTCATAAACCTGAATATCCTTCACGGGGTACTGGTGAATACTGATAAAGAGTCTCAAACTAGGACGAATCGACTGTCAAGTAGGCCTTGAATGTTAATGATTTTCTAAGTGACTTTCCTCCGTGACGAAATATAAACTTAATAAGATAACAGAGGATGTTGATATTAGACGGTTGGAGGTAATCGGCAGTAAGCCTTCGATCTAGGTTTCGTGCTAGTTGACACTAACCAGTCAGCAAAACGTATCAGCAACCTGGAAGGGAATCATGTCCGTTGTGAGATCCAAACCCATGTGACCCAGTGCCGCAGTCAGAGACTTTACCAGTGAGGAATTCGGGCTGGCGACTGACCTCCCGGTGTGACTACATTGGGTACTTTGATTGGACACTAGTTAGTAACTAGTGTACTGTATCTAGCCCTTTCTTTGGTGCAGAGCGAATTCTATCAGTCAAACTTGCAATGTGGCCACCATGCCACTAGGTAACTTGCCATCACGACGCACTGCACTTTGAATTGTTGATAACAGATGGTTGTTGGCACTCGTCACTCAGCAACACGTATCTCCTCAATGCTTTTATTTGCAGGTTTGACGGCAAGCTGACATAAGCCTGAGAACCACTGGAAAGAAAACAAGAAGTATTTGACAACTGTCTCACATCTTAGTCTAGGATTACTCAGGAGTACCCATCCACCACGGCTTGAACCCACTACCTCCTGATCACAAGGTGATCTCATATACCATTTGGCCGCAAGGACGCGATCCAATAGCCCATAAAATTCCTACTTTTTCCAGTGCCACCCAATATCATCGGTGAATATTTGAAATTATACCTGGCCTGGCGGACCCTGCTAGTCACGAATTTTTATTGGTGTTAAAGTGAATTAATAATGAATGGTCGACTCGGGAAAGTTAAACTTTAAGCACCATTAACTAACCCAATCAGCGAATGATCTTCAACGAACCAATCAGATGAAAAAGGTATTTTTGGTTATGGAAAACGTATAATTGTGAAAAAAAATGCATAAAAACTGCATAAAACTGATATATAGGGCATCTTTCTCTGATGTGTGTTAAAAGCATCTCCCAGTTTAGCATAGGAGTATCAACTGGATAGTTACACCACATTCTGTACATATTCTCATTTAAATGACTATAAATGACATCCTTGTGAGATACATTAATGGCCCTAATCCTGTTTTTCAACCTTCCTCAAAAGCCTTCTATAGAATTAGTGTGTATGTCCCTGTAATGCGACCCACAAAATCATTTGAATGGTTCACTCTGTGTTGAATACATCCACGGGATGACAGGGAGTTATAACCTTTCCACTCATTGGTGTGTATTATAGATCCCTGTTTCACCAGTCGAGTGATAATAGGTACTAAAGTAGTTGACTTTCTGTCTGCCATTCTCTCGACGAGTCCTTTTAGTAGAGAGGTGTCACCCAAACATTGTTTGCTCACTCACGACCACGACTGTATTTTTTCTTGAATAAGACAGTTTCGTCTACCTGTACGACGAAGTAATTCTCTCCGATTTCCATGACGCCATGTCTCTGCAGTGCTGGTACCACTGGACTGTTGGTAAGAGGCTTTTTTCAGTTTCAGCGACTGCACCTCTCATAGGTTGTTTTAAAATCCAGTAATTACAAATATACAAAATCTGGATTAAAGACCAATGGAACCTGGTAAAAAATGTTCCCTGACCCTAACTCGTTTAAAAACAAATTATACAACGATAGACATATCCATCAATTGACCTGCTGAAGCTTTTTATACTCATGACACCTCCACATGAGCAAATCCTCTCCTTCCTAAGCAACCCCACATTCAAGCAATACTAGAAAACCTTATTCTCACCAGATTGCAGGCGTAGATGCGTTAGGGTAGGCATTGGACTTGAATCAAATGGAAGAGAACCTTCACTTCACGTGGATGAAACTCAATGGACCATTCAAGGTCATTTGCTGACTGATAGTTAGTGGTGCTTAAAGTTTAACTTGGCTGTCTACTGTAGGTGTGGTAAGCAGAAGAAAGCGTTTTAATCCTACTAGGTGACTTATACAGACTGATATTTTGATAGCTCGTGGGAAATCCTGACTACTCAAAAGTCAGCAAAGTTGAGACAACATTAAAAACTGCAACTCACTGGTTGGATCTCGAGCGTCTACATCAATGAGCAAACGCCCCATAACAAAAATAGGTAACGGTGCGAAAATTAGTTTTGATACTCTAATGAGATATATTTTCTTAGGACTCATAAAGTATGAAATGTAAACAAGAGGCTATGTAACATAAAATTCAGCATTTGAGGTTTAGGAGGAAAGAAGTTGAATTTCATCTTGAGCTTTTTTATGCCTAGAATCAATCATCAATAATCTGGACCTGCTGTCTTTAGGAGAATCGATCTGGGTAAACCAATGATTCACTTGGCTGTACAGTTTTTTAGGGGGTACATACACATGTACATCGGTGGCACAGTGGTAGAATGCTCACCAACCATGCACGTGGTTCGGGGTCCGATCCTCAGCCAACCAGGCACTCCTTTACCTCTGTGAGCCAGTAACAAGATCGGCAAAGAAGGTAGGTTCAGCATGAGGCTAGCAACCCCATTCCGTAATAATAAACACCACTGTTACCGAAACTTCAAGCCTCTAGCTTGAAGGTGCCCTATGTTCCACTGGGAACGTAAAGGAATAAAAAATGTAGATATATACATACATTCTTAACTGACAGAAGAGGTCAGAGGTTACTGTGAATTAGCAACAAAATGAATTCGAATGCATGAGTAATAAAGCATTTGAAAAAGTGAGAATAGTCTTGCGTAATGAAGAGAGAGGATTGACAACTAAACCGGTTAAGTGATGAATAATCATTAAGAAAGAATTGATAGAATACAAGAGTACAAATAATGTAATTTACAAAATACCTTGTAATGACTGTGAGCATGGTCAAATACATAGGTCAAACTAGTAGATCAGGAGTAGTCAGATTGTCGGAACATAAGAATTTAACTACGGTTAGAATGACTGATCCCATGAAGACAAGCAATTTAGAAAAAAGCTCAGCACTACATTGCACTGCATGCCTAAACACACAACCACACAATAAGGTGGGTGGGACAGAGTGAAAATTCTTAGAAGTAATATAAGTAGGTGTGGAGAGCGAGAGGTTGATTACTAAATCCTGGTTCATCGAGTCTACACACCCAACACATGCAACGGAAATGACTCAGTGTAAATACCAGAGATATGGAAGGTATTATTACCACCAGTCAGTCAAATCGGAAGAGGTTAATAAATAATGTTAGGATGTATTTCAATTCCCATTATAATATTCTAACAGGTTATTTATTTTACTATGAAAACATCTTATTTCCCATCTGACTGTATTTTACTGATAACACTAATATTATTATTTCTGAATGTACTTTATCTTATATTATTATTATTGTACCCTTGGGTTCCTAGTGGAACATAGGGCTTCAACTGCACGTCTCCACTTGCTTCTGCCTTCTGCTGTACTTTTCATCTGCATCCATGTTAATCCATACTGTTTCAGCTCCTCTTCACACGATCTCCTCCATGTCACCCTTGCACCGACTAACCACTCGCCGCTTCCCTTTCGGGTTCCACTCGAGCGTTGGCCTGACGCGCGATGTCACCCAGCGGCCTCCTCAGTGAATGTCCAATCCATCTCCACTTTCTCCTGCATATTTGTTGGACGATTGGTCCTTGTTTTGTTTGTTCCCATAGTTTCTTGTTTGTGATTCTTTCCGGCCATCTAATCTTCAGTATTGACCCAAGACAGTTGTTGATAAATGTCTGCAACCTGTTGGAAATATTCTTTGTGACACACTGGCCAAGTTTCTGATCCGTATAGAAGAAGTGACTGACTTGACGTTTGTATTGAAAATCCGAATTTTGTTGTTGATGCTGAGTTGAGTGAGGAAGATTTCCAGATTGGTTTCAGGTTGATGAATGTGTTTCTCGCCTTCCCGATTCTCGATTTGACATCCTCATCCGTTCTTCCTGTAGTTAAGACAATTCTCCCTAGATAAGTGAATAAAATAACCTCGCCTAGATTACTAGCTCACTAGTTTTCTAGCCGGTCCCAAGCCCGGATAGAGAGGGAGGGTTGGGGCTTGGTGCTAGCAACTCCACCCCAAAACGTAACCAAATATATTATCTTATATTGATTTTATTCAAATGTTCAGTCATCAGTTTTTACTCATGTATATAGATGAAGCAGGAAAGTTGTGTGAATGCGCTGCTAGGAATATTAGTGACAATTAATTGTGCTCGAAACGTGGTCATCAGTAAATATTACTGTATTATAAACGTACTGTGTGTGACACTTTATCAAAATAAAAATTTATCCATAATTGAGTTACACTCTGCTACCACAGTGCTCAAGTTTTATCCTTATATCAAGAGTACAAAAGATTGAAAGTTGGTCACAAATATAAAATTCAAGAATGGAAGGACTACACGAAATTTATTTAAAAACTACTAACTATTCAGGAAATTGAAAAATGAATTTGCACTAAGGCCAGAAGTAGTAAAAGCAGCTGGATAAAAGGTTTCTGCATCTATATGCTTCAACTTTTCCGCAAATGTTTTTATTCACCAACAGGGATCAGACAATAAGGTGCTGCTGTTGGTAAGTAACTTCAGTGTGTATTTACCAATTCACCTGTTTCTGTGAAGCCAATGACTTAGATCGTAACAGCAGAACATTATCCAGGCGTAACCATAAACAATTATCAGCATGGTTGATAAAAGCAGAACACAGAACACTGGGACAGCTCAATTCTGGAGAACACTATTTCTTCTGGTCACACAGCACCAGTAGAGACTTTATTCACAGTCACAAATATAAATTATGATCAAGCATTTTAAAAGGATTTCTCCCGCATCCTCATCTTCTTCTTGCAGCTGAGGTTCAATCAGTCCAATAAAGAGATATCTGAACTTTGTGTTCAGAAACCATTTATGCAGTCTCTTTAACTATCCTGACCTTAGTATCAATTTTATTATCCTGAATTGTTAACCCTCTTGATTGTGTAAGATCATGCAATATTTTTCATGCACTGTTGTGACTTAAACACTTTTATTGCCAACTGGCAATAGTCTGTTTGGAAAGAAGGAAAGGCACCTACTGATTGGAGGAAAGGCTGGCTACCTCGTCAAGATGCCAAAGGAGTGAGACTTACGCCTAACCCTGCAAGAATTGGCGTGGAATCATGCTGTTGTCCACCCACGCCAATTAAAATACTAAGTGGCATCATCCTGGAGAGAATAAAAGATGCATTGGATAACGAACTCCGCCAGCCCTTCGGAACAAACTGAATTCAAAAAAGGCAAATCATGTGCTGATCAAATTGCAACCAGTCAAACTTCTACCTCAAATTCATCGACTCTGAGATTGCCCTCGACAGCTCAGAGTTGACCGTGAAGTAATTTGGAAGCTAGTTCAACGCTATGGCGTGAAGTTCTTAGGTCATTATCAACCTCATTCAACATTTATATGACAGTGGCACTTGTCAGGTGATCCACAAAGGAAAACTCAGTAAAATCTTTGAGGAGAATACAGGAGTAAGACAAGACTGTCTGGCTTTTATCATCGATGATATTCCTGACTGGGGTGAACTGGATTGTGCGTCAGACTGTACGTTGGGAGTGAGAAGACGAGAATACACTGTACTGACCGATAAGAAGACTCTCGAAGATCTGGATTTCGTATGTGGATGATTTATGTTTAATATCACACAAACTTGAAGACTTGCAGGCCAAAACCAACAAACCAGATGAAGAAGCTGGCCTGCAGCGAAGATAGGACTACAGGTGAACAAAGAGAAGACGGAGGTGATGAAGATAACCAACGGACCGCAACAACAACAGCAACCAGCATCAATCACCATCAAAGGAAAAAATTTAACAGAGGTTACTTCTTCCCTTAAATTATCCCAGAAGCATCGTTTCAACCACAGGTGACAGAGCGAATGAAGATGTCAAAGCCAGACATAATCGGAAAAGCAAGATACGCCTTCATCAGCCTGAAACCAGATTGGAAATCTTTTGCACACAGTCAGCATAAAGAAGAAGATTCACATTTTCAACACCAATGTTAAGTCGGTCCTTCTATATGGGCTAGAAACTTGGCCAGCAGGTCACGAAAAGGATTTCAAACAGGTTGCAGACTTTCATCAACAGCTGCCTTTGCTTTATACTCAAGATCAAATGGCCAGAAAGAATAAGTAACAAGAAACTGTGGGAACAAACCAACCAAGAGCTGGTCGCTCAACAAATATGTGGCAGAAAATAGAGATGGATTGATCGGGCATACATTGAGGAAACCGTCGAATGACATGGCGCGCCAGGTCCTCAAGTGGAAGCAGAATGGGAAGTGGTCAACGGGTGGGTAGTCAATGCGCGAGTGACATGGAGGAGATCGTGTAAGGAAGAGATGAGGGATTGTGGTTGATTGTGGACCCAGCTGAAGCGGACAGAAGAGAATATAAGAAAGTGGAGATGTGTTACTGAAGCCCTATGTTCCACTAGGAACCCAAGGGAATAATAATCATAACAGCCTGTGACGTCGGTTGTCAATTAACAACACTGTATAATATAAGCCCTTTAAATAACTAACTGTACAACTTTGAAGTGAAGTTACGGAAAGAGGAGGTGTCTTTCCCAACATAATTAAATGGTTAAACCAATGAGAATTGAGGAGAATATGATGATGTATCGCTTCGGACAGAAATTCACATAGCCCAGTGAATCAAGTTGTCCGCCGTAGACATGGATATAAATGGCAAATTTATAAAAATAATCCTGTTTTCAAGTTTTGGTTTGTAGGAATTTGACTGACTGGTTACGCGATTGCATCATGAGCTGACATTGGTTTGCATATATATATATATATATATATATATGCATGCAAAAACGACCGTATCTCAACATATACTACTCACATTATTCAGTAGTATCATCTTTTATTCTGAAATAAGTCCTATTTCTTGATTCGTTGATTTTTTTATTGAATCAAGATGACCAATAACTTCAGTTGGAAAAATAATCTTGCAGATCTGATTTCTTGATATTGCCTTCAGTTTTCATTGCGATGGACTTATTTGTCAAAGGTACAGATCATTCCATACGAGAGGCTCGTCAATGGAAAGAATATATATCATATCAAGTGACTTGATACGATTATGAGCAATAGTTTGTACTCGAAACGTGGTTATCAGTTAATATTA